ATCATGTTTTCCGTGCGGGACCCAAACACAGCCTAAAGAGACGGAAACCATAGCAAATCTTTCATCTTAGGCCATGTTTAGTTCCCACATAAAAACTTTTTACCCTGTCACATCGAATGTTTGGATACATGCATAGAGTATTAAATATGAAAAAAAACTAATTACACATATTGCGCGTAAATTGCGAGACGAATCTTTTAAGCCTAATTGCTCCATGGTTTGACAATGTGGCACTAAAACATTTGCTAATAACGGATTAATTAGGCTTAATAAATTCGTCTCGCGGTTTACAGGCGAAATATGTAATTTGTTTTGTTATTAGTCTATGTTTAATACTTCAAATGTTTGTCCGTATATCTGATGTGACACGCTAAAACTTTTCACCCCTTAATTGCACACTCCCTCCAACCCATTTTAAGTGCAACCATAAGTTTTCGTGCCCAACTGATCGTCTATCTTATTTGAAAAAAATTATAATTAGTATTTTTATTGTTATGAGATAATAAAATATGAATAGTACTTTACTCGTGACTTATGTTTTTATTTTTTTTAAAAAAAATAAATAAGACAGACAGTTAAAGTTAAACGTAAAAAACTATAGTTGTAATTAAAATGGGACGGAGGGATTAGAGCCTTACTATAATCATGTTAAAGATCTACTTATATATTCGTGGTCGTTTGAACCATAGTGACACCACATCGCTGGTGTTTATCTTTATCTTTTCTCTTTTTTTAGTCGTCTCCGCTGTTGCGTCCGGCAACCCGGCAAACCGGCCGGGCGGCCGCCGTTGGCTCGCGGTACGGTCAACTGCTTGGTTTTGCCGGGCAGCGGCACATCCGAGGACCTTAATTTGTAGCCAGGCCAACGACAACCTGACACGCCAAAGAAATTATTCAAATCTCGCAGAAAAAGTAGTCCTAAATTGCTGACGATCGATTCTGTATTAGAATAAATTTATAAAATGGTAGTATAGTTCTTTTAGGCAAATCTATGTATATCAATCCCTTTGCTTTTAAACTGGTCGTTTGAGAAAAATAGGGACAGTGGGAATTTTCAAAGTTCGATAGAATATTAAGGCCCTCTTTGTTTAGGCTTAGACTTATTGGCTTAGATTTTTAAGTCAGCTTATTGGCTTATAGGATTTATAAGTCGATGGATTTAATGTCCTAAGTTTAGTGATGGAGTCATACATCTACCTCATATAAGCCAAAAAAGCTCCTCCAATCTAGCTTTTGGCTTAATAGTGTTAGAGTGGCTTATGACTTCAAAAACCAAACGAAAAAAGCTGCTTGTTTGTTTAGTCATAGATTTTTTGGTTTATAAGTTGGCTTATAAGCCTAAACAAAGAGGACCTAATTATCCTCATATCAAATATTTTGTTTCCTGCAAAATAAAATATCAGAATATTTTGTACAAGACGGAGTACTAGATAGAAATAACACAGCCTAGTATTCACTGTATATATATATATTTTTTGGAACGCCGACTGTATATATATTTGGTATATATATTTGAGATATAACGAATTGTGAGATTTTTCATGAAATTCTCCTCGCTCACCAATTCACACAGTGAATTTTTCTACTCTGCAAAAGTGTAACGCTACACACGAACTATTACGTCAGCTTGCTAGGATACCTGAAGCTCTGAAAGTCCACATGTTACGCGTGGCAAATCCATATGGAGTACGATTGCAAGGTTTTCATACTGTTGAAACAGATAAGCAGCTTTCATTGCTCGTGAATCTTGTGGGCTGTGGCTGATTTAATTTGCAGGTATATACCTGTTGCAGATGCAGCTATAAATCTATAATCACACGTGACACAGCTATATACTCCGTATATGTGTGGACGGGAGCAACTGGCAAAGTAACATTATGCAGTCACCCTCGTGTCAGCATCGCCCTCTCGAGCCTCACGAAACATTCATGAACGGTACAGTATTACAGTTACATGCATAGTAAAAATAATACTCCAGGTGACATGTCTTTAACTTTACTCATATGCATGTAATGAACTCCTTTATACTCCTATTTCACTTGCAATTAGTAGTAGTAGCTGGATTAAGAACCAGTTTAGATTGAAATGAAACAACGCATTAATGACTCACTGCACCCATCTGGACACGTACGATTGACAGGGTGATCCCGATGATTAAATTAATTAAAGACAGTCTCGTTGTCTCAAGATGATGATGGAAATCATGTAAAAAAAGAATGATGGAAATAGAAAAGCTCATGTGGGTGACTAAAAAATGCGTTGAAACATGCTGGCAAACAACGAGTTCGTGTGATGTTTTGGTCCACGCAACGAGTACGTTACCGGCTACACGGTGCGAGCCGTCTGGTGGTGCCATGCCAAGCGTGTGATGATGAACTTAATTTGCAAAGTTCTTTTTCTTTATTTTCTCCTTCTTTGTTGACCTTGTGCATGTACTGTTCCAGATGGCATCTACTACTACTACACGCGCGCAATCAGTTAAATTGCGTGAGAACTTACGCCATTGATTGCGTAATTAAGAAGAAAAGATCATCAAGAGAGAATGTCAAAGGTGTAGGTAAGGATTATGGAGAGAGAAGGCACTGCACTAGAGTTGTTGGGTGATTTGATTAGGAGTAACTAGCTCGCCAGGATAATCCTTCACTGATAGTCCAACAACTATAACCTAAAAATAAAAATTTATGAATTCCTGCAGAAAAAAAGAGATTAATCAAAAGCACACGACTACACTACCAATAGTAATTTATTTACTCGAGCCAAGGGAATAAAGACAGGTTGTGCCATGAGCTATATAGCTCGAACTCGCCTTTGTATCCGGATCTTGTCGTCTGCACGCATTCATGCATATTGTCAAATTAAGTACTAGTTTATTTATCCACACGATCGATCAATGAACCTAGACGATCGAATAATCAAAGTTTTGGATGATATGCACCGTACGTACGAGTCGCCACTATTGTTTGTTTACGCACGCACGAGCACTAGAGTCAAAATGGTGCGTTACTGTGCACTGGCTGTTTCGAGTGGCTAGCTAGCTTATCAGGTTAGGTGCCCACGGGTTCAAGCGTGTCAGTTACTATTAAAAAATATACGAGATCAAATATGTTGGACTATGGCCTTTTTATTTAGTCCATCTTGGATATGTTCTGACTTATGACATGGGTAGTGCCATAGGATCTGTTCGAGATGTACAAATTTCGTGGAAACGGTTCAATTTTTAGCGGAAACATCGGCAGTTTTCGGAATTCCAACTTCCAACCGGGTACTAAGCATCACCAACAATCTACCTATATGATTTCCAAGACTAATTTTGAGGGATTTTAGTCCAAAAATCAGCTCCAGCAGATCCCTACTCTCCTACCCGAGTTTTGGAGTTCCCTCCCCCCGGTTCCTCGCTCCGTTTATATGCGGGCGCGAAAGTCGCTCCCAATCACGCAATCCCGCCTCTCTCCTTCGTTCCCGTGCGTGGGAGATAGCGATCTTTCTGCGCGTGAAAGAAAAAAAACATAATTTTCTCTTGGTAGTTTAACCGAAGGGCCCACTTTTAAGTTTTGGGGATTGAATTTAGTCTATCTGTTGGAGGGAGGAGTTTTTTCACTTCCTATTTTCAGTTTAGGAAACCCAAAAACAAATTGTTAGGAAAAAATTATAGATAATCTATTGGTAATATCAACAGATTACCTAATCTCCCCCAAAAAAATATTTTTGGGTTTTCTAAACTAAAAATAGTAAGTCAAAAAACTTCTCCCTCTAACAAATATCCTGCATTCAATCCCAAAACTTAAAAGTAGATCCTTTTGTTAAAATACCAACAGAAATTCCGTTTTTTTTCTTCCACGCGCAAAAAGATCACTACCTCCTACACGTGGGAATGGGAGGAGAGAGGCAGGAGTACGAGATTGGGAGCGACTTTTGCGAGAACACGCGTCCGCATATAAACAGAGCAAGGAATCGGGAGAAAGGAACTCCAAAACTCGGCTCGGGTAGGAGAGTAGGGGAACTGTTGGAGCTGTTTTTTTTTTTACTAAAATTCCTCAAAATCAATTTTGGGAATCAAATAGGTAGACTGTTGGTGATATGTTTAGTTTGATGCAAAAAATAATCCCTACCAAATTTTGACACCATCAAAATCAAAATTTGGCCAATACCAAACAATGTAAGGTAGAGGTAAATGGGTGTTGTTTGGTTTGATGCGTTACTAATTCTTTTTGTGTGGAGCTATGTGAAGAAGAATCTAGAAAATTACCAAATTTTGACATGGTATGGTATTTGAGATATGTTTAGACTAATATGTTATTAAAATTTGATAGTAACAAAACTTGATAAGATTAAAAATGGTACTAAAGTGAACAAGCTCTTATTGTTGTGCAATTGCCATGCAATAGGTAAGAGCAAATGTTAAGCAGCAGTGACTATATTTGTCTTCATTGCATTGGCGCATGGAGTTTGTGACAATTTTACCAACTACAACCTCCGTTCTAAAAATAAGCAAACATAATGCGAAATATGATATATTCTAATACTACTATTCTAGACATAGCACTAGAATATATCATATAAAGTATTATGTTCGTTTATTTTAGAACGGATGCTTACATTGCATGGGAGGGTTGGGTGCTCATTTGTTTGAAGTTATTCAATCCAGCTATATAGGAGTACGTGTTACATTAACATGGATATGAAAAAGAACCTGTCATGTAGTTCCCGACTTCCCGTACTCAAATCTGGTCATCCCTATTTAGATTTTTTGGGTGTCCAGATATTTTATTTTTCTGAGTCTATGCTAGATTTTTTGGGGGAGTGTCCAGATATTTCTCTGATCAAAATGATACTGCAGTATATCGAACCAGAAAACATGGATCACCTAGCAGGACGAGTGAGCTACTGTGTGTGACAGAGGCGAGGGGAAAAAAATCTTCGCTCTTTTCATCGCTAGAGTTACCCTCCTATGTACTGTACTGATTGTCGTTTAGAAAGCTCCAAACTTCACAACTGACAGAGAAAAAACGTCGGAAAAAGACGCATCCAACTGACTTATGTGGGTTCTACATGTCATTAAGATACCGATGGCATATCTTAAACTTTACAAAATTATAATGGTATGGTTCCAAATTACCCTCCGGAAAACGCACATTTCGTATCGGTTCTCACTTTTCAAGATGGCTTCTTCCTCATCCTCTCCTCTTAATTTCGGCGACATGTCATTACGTCAAACAAAAGGAACCAGGGTCCTTTACTGACGGGTCATGTATGTCGGCGTCTGACGAAAGAAGAATCAGAAAATGTATATTCCGGACTCTCATCCATCGTACCAACCCTCGTTTCCTCCTCCCTGATGTGAATCGGTCAGGAGCGTAGTACATTCGCAGCAATTTGCAGAGCATATGCAGTTGCATTCTGCATATGCTATTCCGTCGGTCAGACAAAGGAAGAAACGACGACGAAGTCGTGCGAGATCTTGACAGATCGGGGAGGAATGGAGGGGAGAGTAGGTGAGGATGCAGCACCGATCTCACACGACACGCCGACCGACCCGTGGAGTGAGAGTAACAAGTTAACAAAAGCGATCAACATACCTTCTAGATGAGCTCCTTGATCTCTTTCCTTACTTTCCAGGCGATCTTCTCTTGTTGGTGCATGACGGCAGCAGCAGCATTAGCAGATCAAATGTGTTGTTGACAGGTGAGAGCTAGGAGGAAATCAGAAAAAAAAATAAAAATAAGCGGTTGTCTATGGAGTGACAGCTACGCTCGCTCTGAAGACACAGGAGAAACGGAAGAACCAAAAGAGAGACGTGATATTTACTTTGTTCTGCTCAAGCTTTTGACATTAGACCAGGGACCATTTTTTCCTTCTTTAGAAAAGTTCAATGAGCGGGCCCAATTCTAATCAAACTGTGGCACACTGCACCTAGCTAGTATATGTTTGAACTTTAAACTAATCCTGCTCTGGAAACAGAATAAACCTGGGGGATTGAAACCAAAATAAGCTGAAACATACGGTGGACTATCAGAAAAAAGGGAGTTTTGCCCCAATGCTACCTCAGCAGTGCATACTTGCCTCAAATTACAGTTGCCGTAGCTGCCCTGCTATATGATGCTTATACATGCTTATACATCCAACCCCTCTATATATCTGTACAGAATTCCAGCTTCAGACAAATTAAGCTGGTTCTAGGCTTCTAGCTTGTATCACGCCAATATTGGATCAGGCTGATATTTAAATTCAGGCAAATGGTCAAGCCTGCAAGGAAAAAAGGGTATTATCAGTAAAACGTGAGGTTTGTCTGGTTGATCCAGAAGTTCTAACAATGTTACTGCCGGTGAAGCTGTAATTTCGCCATGTCTGATGTAAGTAGTACAGTGGCTCAGGAAAGACAAGTTTGCCATCATAGTATGCTATAGCACAATCAAAGGGTGCAAGCTAATCATTCGTACCTTTGTCTGACTTTGAGAATACCAGTGCCAAGTTGCATGGGTATACCCATGATAATGCATTCACTAACTCCCTCTATCTGATCCTCACGACCACTGTATGATGCATTAAAGAGATGCTCCGCTGTTTTCTCAAACGAAGCCAGCATCAGCACACTACTTTTCATTTTTGCAATACCATATCTAGTAATGCCAAGAATTTCACCCTGCTCGGAGAATAAGAACCAGCAGTATGTAAGTTACTGTTGAAGGGTACACAACATAGATTAAAAATATAGCATAATAAAATGAAGGTAGGTGTTAATTATTGTACCTTGTATGTCATCAAATCTGCCAGAAGCATCATATGTCTCGAATCAATGTTCATCCCATGACTTTTCATTGTATACTGAATTTCATCAATAATAGATCTCCTCGCAGCTTCAATTCCGAGTGTTCGGTTCACTTCCATGATGTGGTTACTTTTTGTTTTCATAGCATCAACTCCTGGAGTACCCATTACTGCCAAGAGATTTGTTCTGCAATTACAGAACTATTTGATTAATATTCTAGAAAAATAATGCAGAAGTTGGAGTAAGTCAGAAACTAAGCCATTCCAAGAGACAAGACCCTGGAACTCTAGTGATCTACAAAAATAGGTCAATAAAATTCTAACAAGGGTCAGCAAATCTACAAACGGAACTTTAGTTCATGCTGCTAAAACTGTGAATGATATGATTATATGAACTCATACCCCTCAACCAACAACTTGTATCTTTTGTCATTTTCTTCACCAGTTTCGCTGATCACAGCTCTTTCAACAGTTGGAATACCCTGAATTGATTAGTAGGAAGGTCAGAGACAGCCAAAATGGCACATCTAACACTGCACATCTTGATAAATGCTAACCTTCACGATCACTTTTGGAAGCATGGATTTGAGATGATGTAACTCATATAGAAGTTTGGACTTATCTATTCCAGCTGGATAAATTCTCAACTTGGATTTATCAATAACACGAACATGCTGCAAAGATGACGTACAATAAATAATATTAACAGAAAAAACTGATGGTCAGGCGTATCAAAGAGCTTTGTTGATACCTCAGATTTTAGCTTTATTTTTGGATGATTCAATATTGACAGCTGCACAGAGTCAGCAGAGATGCCCATGTGCAGGGCTTCTATACGTTGCATATCGAGTTTAACAACCAAGTTTGGTTGACTTGATTTCAACACAATCTTTATGGCTTCAGCCACCTGCTCAACACAAAGACCATCCATACATCCAAAAGTTAAGGGCAAAGTAACACCGTGAAATTCCTAAATTTGAGTTCTCTCCTTCATAAAATTTATAAATTGTGGGCAGAGCTTTTCATTTCTGTAAATTGAATAACCTGGTAAATATGATGCCACTAGCTTGATGCGTAGACAAATATCAAATGGCTAATATCTTTGAAGTGTATTAAATGCATGTCATGATTTTAATGTATTTAAGAAACATAGATGAAGATGTAAAGCAGACTGACTTCTTGTAAGTTTTAAGTGCGTGTAATGATGTAAAATACAAGAGGATACAATTATCAACATCGAAAGCAAGTTTGGGGGCAACATACCTCACCCAGCACTGCCTTTTCCATAGAGCCTTTCACAATGCGTGCAGACAACACATCCTTCTCAGAAAGTAACTCAGCAGTGATAATAGGTGTGCTTATCTTTTTAGCAGCATTGATAATTTCCTTGATGCGAGGAACACCAAGAGTAACATCTTTTTACTTGTTAAGGAAAGATGATTTGAACAGCAGTGTCCAAGAATAGCATGTATGCATTACTCTACATCAAGATATCAAATGCTGTAGTATTGTGCAAATCAATTCAGATTGATGAAAGCTTATATCTTTTAGCGCATATTATTGACAATTTCATCCGCTTTATCTTAGATACTACATTCCAATGCCCCTCTAAAGTAAATAAATTATAGGAAATAGGCCAAAACGACCTGCTAGTAATTCTTAAAATTAAAAGCAGACTTTCACGAACCATATAGTATATAGGATACTCATGCTAGCTACTCCTGCAAAATGGAAAGTTTTCAATGTCATCTGAGTTCCAGGCTCTCCAATACTTTGAGCCCCAATTGCCCCAATTGATGCTCCGGCTTCAATTTTCTTCAAGTGGTAACGAGATAAACATGTGTCCAAGAAAACCTGAGCCATATGGAGAAAAGGAAAACCATTACAGAATGACGACACAAGGATAAAATGCATAAGCAAACCAATAAAAATAATACTTGAAATCAGTTTAACATTTACTGCAGAAAATTAGCATGACCACGCAATTAGTAAGAGACCAAAAAATTGATCAGAAATAGACTGTGCTTGATATTTCAGGTTTTTCGCAAAACAGAGATGAATTGGTATGTGAAAAATATGAATAGACACACCTGTAGTTGCTTCACAGATATACCAGAAATATTAGCAGCAATGGATTCTTCAAAGCTGGAGTGCCTCTCTCCAACATGATCTTCATCTAGGAGAAGCGCTCTCCTTGTGCTCTTCAGCAATTTTATACGATCCTCAAGAAAATACGTTAACAGTTGCTTGAACTTTTCGCTACAACCATCATCAGAGGAGGCATCATGTTCAGAGAGCTTGTCATTTAAAATTTGTAAGATTTCACCTGGAGATAATGTATTCTGTCCCCTTTGAGGACAAGTGGCCTACAACAGTAAAATGGTTAGCACACGAGGCGCATCTCACTTGATCAAGTAAACAAACTGTTTTTACATGTTAAAACTGACCATGACTTTCATAAACAATTGATCCAAATTTAAGGGCTTTCCATCTTTCCCTTCCATCTTTGCAGGATCCATGCCATCATCTCCATAGAGGAACTGTACAATACCACCACTAGCATTGCGGACCGTCTGATCATAGAAAACTGAGAGATCTTCCAATCCCTTCATTAATCTGCGGGACATATATCCTGTTTCAGCTGTTTTAACCTACGATCACAAGTTCACAACCAAGGAAACAAGCAGAAATTATATTCCAAATTTCCAACAATTCCCAAATGTTTTTGAGAAGCCAGAAGGCACAATGAGTATGCTGGAAATGCCCAATGGGTTGCACCTTGGTCCAGCTGAATGCACAAGATACCAGTATAGTTCACCTAACAGACCTCTACATAGAACTGGCATAGTGCTGTGAAGGTTTTCATGCAGCGAACTACAGTGCCTGAGATAAAACACTCAACTGCAAGGACCAAAGCCTAAAAGGCAGAGTCAAACGGAAACGCCAGATTCAACTCTGGTATGCAAGCAAGTTGATTTAGTGCCCAAACAACGAACAAGGAAACATCTTCCCCAATCATTGCTGTGCTCAAAATATAAAGGAGAAGTGGGCTTAATTCTATAAGAATGTGATGAATGAACTTATCATTTGTTTCTAGTTGATGATGTGCTCTTCTATAATAGCTGCTAAGTTTCCTAATCCTATCCCTGCCAGGCACAAGGAGCTAATTCAGACTATTCCTCTCACATAATATCATCATTGTACTACTATTAATTCAATTGAGTAGTATGTACTGCGGTGTAAGTCTATGTGAGCAAATTTAAGAAATTTTTGTGCTGAAATACAGATAGAGTGCAAATATCAACTTATGCAAACAATAGATGGTTTTATACATAGACATACCGCTGTATCAACAAGACCTTCTCGCCCACCCATCGTATGGAAGAAGAATTCGGTGGCAGTCAAGCCAGTATAGAAAGAATTAGCGACAAAGCCTTTGGCCTGGAAATGGAATACAAAACATATTTGTATGTGAATATACCAAAATGTGCTGATTTCGTGACCTTTAATTCAAACAAAATTGCAGTCAGAACAAGTTGAATAAAAAAATGTTTTCTCTAACAAAGCTAGGTGGAGGACTACGAGTCAACGAAATCCCCACTCTGAAAAGGACCAATTTTTCTACATGATAACTTCCAATAGAATCCCACGATCCTTTAATGAAAAATAAATAATTAATTAGCCATTTAGGATACCACATATATATACATCAAAGGGAAGTAATGTCAATTCAGAACTTTCTATAACATAAGAGATATTGTGTTTAAAATAAAACATTACATATATTTTCAATTTCCAGCCTCTATCTCTATGTATAGTGCCCCATAAAATTTGAAGAGTACTTATTTGAACAGAACTAGAAATATCCAGCACCAGAAATGGATACACAAATAAGCAAGTCATATTTCTAGTACTGATGTTCTTACTGCAGGAGTCTTTGAATTTATAGGAAAGTGGGGAAGAGTTCGATCTATGAAGCCATTCGGGGCACGACGCCCTCCAACTGATTGTTGGCCAACACATGCAACCATCTGACTAATGTTGATTGGAGAACCTTTAGATCCACACTGAGACATGATCAATGGGCTGTTCCTCCAGTGAAGTGTATTCATACAGACCTGATAAATAAGTTTAAGTGCATTCAATAAAAAAAGTGCAAAATCAAATTTGAATAATTTTGTTTTGAGTCAACAAAATAATTGCATCGGGTCTCCAGTAGAAGTCAAAATCACGCTAAAAATCAGACTCATGATGAGAATATCCATGCAACAAAATTTGGTTCAGGAAAATTCAAAGATTTGCTCACTGGAAAATAATATGAAATGCAAGGCTAAAAATATTTTTCTATCTGTAAAGAATATGCAAAAGTACAACAATGGATTAAATTAACAAAATATTGACAGGCTTACTGGCTAAGGAAATTCAGAAAGACAATAAAATTGGATGAAACATACTTTTCCAGCTTCTTCTCTGATTTCATTCAGTACACGAGTTATACTTTGCTCCAATGTTTGGGCTGCGTTGCAACCGGGCTGCAAACGGAGTGCACCTTTGGAATAGGAAGCAATAAGATCATGGCAATCTTTGTACCCTCCATCTATTTTCATTTTCTTCTCTTGGTTTAAATGTTCTCCCGGTTGGACATCGTCCACACCAATTGAGAAACCATGGTTCCCTATAAATCTTGCACTGCAGGAAAAGATGAATGCAATTCAAATCAGAAAAAAAAATGTGCACTAAATTATGTAACAATCTAACACCAACAATACAAATGAGAAACTCAGCAAAATGGTAATAATAGAGAGATAAAATTGAACGAGTGTACACCAACTAAGCTCCCTGACTTAATTAGTGTCAAATGGCAAAGTGGTTTGCGTACAAATAAAAAAGATGGCAGATTCACGTAAAATAAAATAAAAAGAAGGCAGAGTGTTTGACTTATTAGTGATTTCTATTAACCCTCTCGCATTCTTTAATGGAACAAAGACAGAACAAAAAAATAATTGCATAGCATTTGTTAGTTAATATTTAGGAAAGAATGGGTCCATTACGCAATTTTGTAGCTCACCTAAATTTTGCCAAGCGGTTCATACAGCTTGCCGCAGCATGAGAATTATAATCTCTTACAAGAGTGGAGAACATGCCATCCTTATTCCCATTACCTGGAAACAAAAGATTAAAGATTGTTTTGGTTTGCTTCCAAATTTAACAAGCAGGATGAAAATAACAAGGACAACTAACTAGCACAAGTGAACAATACATTTTCCAAACCTGATTAAAGGAACATTTATTGTATGTGGTGATTCATAAGAGGGTAAACCATGCCAGGACTATTGTTTATAGTCCATGCCTATAAACTAATGTTCTCCTAAAGAGAATATAGCATACTCCTCCATCCCAAAATATAGCTGCCTTTCTAGCTCAGATTAGAGAGGTACCTATATTTTTGGGACAGAGTGAGTACTTAGGATTATCAGGTTGGCAGTCGTTTTAGCTATGAATCAGTACTGGGTGGGATTCTCACCTAAAGTGGCCTTCCCAACTTGCCCAGATAGAAGTTCACTGTTTCGGAAGTAGACAAAACCATCATTGGGACACATTGCTTCAGGTTCCAGAGTTGAACCCTTAGGAGTCTTATAAATTTTCTCTTTAACAGTAAGATTCAGAAACACCTTTGTACATGCGTTAGGACGTACTAACACACTGAAGAGTTGTTTACCAGTCCAAAGCTCAATAGGCTGTACAAGGAGAACATAATCACTGAATCAGTATACAGAGAAATCAGGAATTTGATGAGAAAGCTAAGATGCACAAAGGCGCAGCTGGAAAAGAGACAAGGTACTGCCTCTTGTTATGCATAATAATGCTGAAATTCACTACAAAAATTACTAAAACTTATATGACAAAGTAATCCAGTTTGATAATACTGTCGAAGTCAAATAAAAGTGATGGCATGCTGTCCCCCATGCCCAAATAATATCTCCTATTAATGACAAACATTGGTTGAAGCATTAAGAAATAGCATGTCTTCAATCTGATACTTGCAAAGTGCGTTCCTATGAAAAAGCCTTACCTTAATCAGAGCAGGTGTTGGCAAATCAATGTTTTCCATTGCATCACCAAGATATGAACATAAGAGAGAAAATGACGACCTGTCATAAAAGTTATCTTTTCTTGTAACCAGAAAAGAGGAAGTCAAAAAGTCTTGCGTGGATGCAACCAGTATTTCCCCATTCTTTGGGGTACATAAATTGTTCTGAACCTGCAAAAGTATTAATGATTTTGAATATTAGCTACAGAATAGTGGTAGAACATCAAAAAAAAAAAAAGATGGTCAACTGTAAAAAGAAAGAGTTAGCAAATGCTACCCCCATGAGCATAAGCGCTTCAGTGCGGGCTTCCTCAGTCTGAGGAACATGCAAATTCATCTCATCGCCATCAAAATCAGCATTATATGGGTTACAGACAGACTCGTTAAACCTTAGTGTTCTCCAGGGCATAATCCTAGCCTGTGATTAAATACAAAGAGCAAGGGACCAATATGAGGTAACATTTTCATGTAGCGGGTGCAGTGTAATGAAGAGCAATTTATACCCTGTGAGACATAATTGACATTCTATGCAAGCTCGGTTGTCTATTGAAGAGGACAATGTCTCCATCTTCTAAATGCCTTTCGACTACACAGCCATACTTCAAATCTCGAGCAGCAATTCTTCTATCGCAATACTTTAAGTGCCTAAAAATGTAGGATAATTGAGTATATACGCTGAACTTATAACTAATTTCAGTGCATTTACTGATATGACTTACAGCTTTGTTCCATCAGGTTGTATGATGAAATTTGCCCCTGGATGTTTGTGTGGACCATTCCGTATACACTGACGCAGCTTCTCTATGTTATAGTATGAAACTCTTTCAGGATAAGTCAAAACTCGAGCCATCAGGATGGGAATAGCCACCTGAAGTGTTAATTAATGATGACGTTAAACATCAACAAGGAAGTGAACATAAAAAACTTCTATATTGCCATGTACCTCTGTTATTCTCAAGTTTGGATCAGGAGAAATGACAGTCCTTCCAGTGTACTCGGTACGTTTTCCAGACAAGTTACCACGAAATCGGCCTGTCTTCCCTTTGAGTCGCTGAACAAGGCCTCGATGTTGTGACTCGGGAAGAGAGGGTGCGTCACTGTTGATATATTCAACAACTTGAAGTTGAAGGTGTTGCCAGCAATCCTTCAAAGATTGAAAAGAAGTAGATGTAATCATTTAAAGTAATATCAAATTGTTAGAATGCATATCGTACAGTCAGAATATTTTGATAGCATAGCACCAGAGGAACTCTTGTGAAAGAGTCATAAAAAACACAATTTTGAATGATCTAAATGGTTGTTTTCCTTCATAGAGACGAGTGCATTTTTCTCTTGAAACAGTAGTTACTGACTTAGTAATTTAGTTAGCTAAATAGGAATAAGCATTTTGTCACACTTAAGTCGGATTTTCAAAACTGTAATACTTTGAACCTGTCATGCTGATAAGACACCAGCCCCCACATGAATTCTGCATATCAAAGGAAAGTCACAATCTGACTTACTACAGAATAATCAATCCTGTTAGAATATGATTTCTGGCTTTCATATTTTCTACTTGTGTAAATCATCAAGTTTCCTAAATATTTTGCCTTGTAGGTTCCATACAGACAAATTGAGATTAACCCTAAACTAGATTATGGGTCTATCAAGCTGTGTGTTTCATGAAGATACAGAGACAAGGTGATTTCTGAGTTTCTAGCAAACTATCCGAAAGGAATTCTAAACATACAGAAGTTGCACTGCACTAAGAGAAAAAAATGGGAGAAAATAAACAAACGAAGAGCTGTGAGTGTCTTACAAAGCACTTCATGAACTGACCACCAGTTTGAAGGTTCTCCTTAAGGATGGAATTAGTATTAGCAATACTCTTCAATATGACGGTAATGCTATCTTCATTGCTGTGGGAAGCAAGACAATTCAATGCATTAAAAGGAAAATGTGGTTATGCTGAATCACCATTTGACATATAGGTACTAAAAAACTGAAGAGCAAACCTCATTCTTCCACCAGCCACGAAAACAGAAGGACGTATAGGTACAGGTGGCACTGCAATCTCTGTCACAATAAGTTTCTCAGGCCTATCACCGAGGTTTAGCAACTCACAATCCTGTAGAGTGCATAATATCAAAGTGAGAGAAAACATACATAAAACTAATCGAACAAATCTGTAGTCTGTACAATACAAATTGTGGTACTCTCATAAAATAGTAATCTTGAAAGACAAAAAAATAGGATCTACCTCATCGGTCATTCTTTTGAAAAGAGATAGAACAATTGCAGGGTCTAGCATGCGAACAGCACTAATAGATAGTTTCTCTTTCTTATGTGATAGTGCGTCCCGAAGCTCTTCTGTGCTTCCATCCAATGTTTTGCTACAATCATGAAGAATAATCAACCCTGCTCTGCCCTTTTTAGCAACACCTGTACTACCAACCAAAGAAACGCAAAAGTGAGAAATGTTCTGTAAAATGTTGACAGCAGTCAGGTGACCATTAGTAAGCCATCCTAAGGAAAATTTAAGTGGCGAGGAGCCGAGGATAAAAAGGAGTATCAGAAAGTAGCTTGCCATTTATGAATCCACACCAGGGGCAACGGGATAGTTTGCATTTGTCCCTCACTTTTTTCATGATAGCACTTTTCTGTAGCGGATCTGCTTTGGGATTTCTCATTTTCTTCAAAAACTCTAGCCGATCTTTCTCCATAAGAAGAACCCTGCTGCAGCTCTTTAAATAAATTATGGAACAAGTATAAGAATAATCACATTTGGTGGATTTAGACAAAACATCTAATCTTATTCGTGCAGTGATACCTTGCAGATGCACTTCAATACATCCAAAATACAGTTAAAGAATCCAACATTAAAAACTGGAAGGGCGAGCTTCAAGTAACCAAAATGACCCGGGCATTCAGCAAATGAACCATGGCAAGTACTGCACTCCCCAAGCTTGTTTGCCGCACCCTGAAATTATATGAAATGTTGTATAAAAAAGAACAACAATGAACCATGAAACAGGATCCGGAAAGCATAGCCCAGCTGCCTTCCTATGATGAAGCAAATGAAACCACATTTGCTCAAACATCTGCAATCAATGAGAAACTCGAAGGGCAACACGCATTTACCATCCGCGTGTCGAGCAATCCATTGGGCACCGGCTTCATCTCATGGTTGTAGATCCGGCTGTTCCAAACCTGCACCTCCGCGGATTGGCGCACCTCGTTCCCCGAGAACATGCTGAACCGGATGCTCTTTCTGAACCGGATTGGTTCAAATCGAATCAGAAAACAAAACCAAAAGTCAGTAAACACAACCGCAGCGCGACGACGACGACGACGATGAAAACACGCCGGACCGACGGGGCCTTACATCCTCCGCGTGCCGACATCCTCGATGAAGGGCTCCTTCGTGCACCGCAGCTTCTCCTCCGGCCGCGCCATCTCCCCTCCCGACTGGGCTCCGCTCGACGCCGCCGTTCGCGAGCCGGAGCCGCTTCGGATCGTGAAAACCTGGCGGAGGAGGCAGAGTAGGAAGGGGAGAGGGAGAGGTGACGGTAGCAATGGGGAATGGAGCTGGGGTTTTGTAGGGGCTTAGGGCGAGGGAGAGGGAGAGAGAGAGGAGGCTAGGGCGAGGTGGAGAAGGAGAGGAAACCGTACACAACGCACCTACGGGCCTTCTCGCCGGCGGCGCGGGAGAGGAGGCGAGGCGAGGCGAACCTCCGACAGCCGCCGCCCGCCGGCTCGCCGCTCGCGCGGAAAGGGGAGGAACGGGGGAGAGTTGGCGGCGGCGCGGGACCCTAGATGACTTCGCTTTTTTCGGCTTGGAGGAAATAAATAGGTAGGGCGAGTATCTACATTGTTTAATTAATTTTATTCCCGTATCTTAGCCGTATGTTGGGGATCGACGGGTTGGCTTGTTCCGTTTTATGTAACAGAGGAGTCGCGGGTTCGATTCTTCTTCATATCATCACCTTTTTTTTCCCCTAAAAAATATTTTTTTTCCTTTTTCCCTAAAAAAATCCCCTAAAAATTTTTTTCCCTTTTTTCCCTAAAAAAAATCTTCAACAGTTAAAGGCATGTTTAAATATACAGCCCCCACACAGAGTTATACAAGAGACTCTCACAGTACCTAAGCCAATCATGACTCTAACCATTAAAAAAATTGGTATTTTTCTTTCGTTTACACCCTTATACAACAAAAGTGTTTATTTTATATATGCTAAAGATCGTTGTTGAACCATTTAACCGTAGCAACAATTTATTTTCTCATATCTTGTATATATCTTTAAAAAATATATTTATCTGTGTTCTTTCCTGGGTGATTGTGTGTGAGTTTGTTTCGTTTTCCGCGCGCACGCTTCCCAAACTACTAAACGGTGTGTGTTTTGCAAAAAAAAAATTATAGAAAGCTGCTTAAAAAATCATATTAATCCATTTTTCAAGTTTAAAATAGTTAATAATCAATTAATCATGCGATAATGGCTCACCTCATTTTGCGTATCTTCCCAATCTTCTCTATCTCCTTCTCCTCAAACACAGCCCTGTTCGGATATGGGGAGTTGGGAACTAAACTCCCCGCACAGAAAACAGACCAGTCCATTAGCGCGTGATTAATTAAGTATTTATTATTTTTTTTCAAAAATAGATCAATATGGTTTTTTTAAGCAACTTTTGTATAAAAACTTTTTTGCAAAAAAACACATCGTTTAGTAGTTTGAAAAACGTGCACGCGGAAAAAGAGAGGGGTGAATTGGGAACTCTGGGTTCCGAACACACCCTTAGTATCAACAAGTATTCTCTTTATCATCATATATGGCAAAGTGCTTTTTATTTTACTGGTGCCAAGAGTCGTTTTGAGGCATTGTTAACCGGCCAACAATGTTTCTCTCCTATAATCTTTGTCTTCTATATGAACGAATAGTTCCAATTAGTAAGGCTAAAAGCTCCTTATTGATGACCATTGTACTGGTATTTCGTTTATGGCCTTGTTTGGCTCTCTTGCAGTTACAAACCAGCACAAAACAGTTTTTTGTGCCTTCGGTTGCTATAGCGCAGTCGCAATCCTGTTACAAGAATATCTCCTGAACAAGCCTTATAAGATTAAGGGTTTGTATCACTCTTTTTTGTTATTTATGTTGATAACCAAATTTGGAACAGACAAATTTGACAAGAACAAGCCTTAGTATTTTTCAAATTATACTAAGCCTTGAAAAATACTAATGCTTGTTCCGGAGATATGGCTATTGCTCTGTTTTCTGTAACAGGGCAGCAAGAACGGCCAAATTTGAAAAACACTAAGACTTTCCCATGAAGGCCAGTTTTAACCGTCACTGTGTAATCAGTCAGACCAAACAAATATGATGTGGTCAGGCCTTCAGCATAGAGTCCGAGTCCAAGTAAGGAATTTCTTGCGTTTCCTTATTTTATACCGAGATTTCTTGAGTTTGATTTCTTTAGCCTAATTGGATCCTGGAAAGCAAATCCACCTTTCTATAAATATGAGGACGAAGGTTGATTAGAAAAACAACAAATCAATTGTCAAAATCAATTTATCACCTAAAACCTTTATTCTACATCTTCCTCCTGTTTGCTATTTATCCCAACGTCTATTCTCCTCAAATCCCACAATTGTGCATCATTTTTTTTGTCTTTACATTGTTATAGGACGTCCTGGCTAGCCTATCAAGGCTAGGACAAACTGACGCGTGTTCATCTTGAGGGGGTCCCTCCCAGGTGTTCATTCAGCGGCATATACCTCTCCATGTGACGCGCGTCTTTGGTTGTTGTTGCGAATTGCACGTAATATGCTCAAAGTGTGGTAGCGCGATTCAACGTCTAACAATTTCCTCTGGTAGCTTTTTTGTTGCACGTGTTCGTTGTTGTTGTCTATCCAAGTATTGATTCTTATTTTACATAACAGATAGTGTATAATATAATTCTAGAGAATACATAACGTGAAAAACTAATTTCACATGATAAATATAAGAATGAGGTTTGAATCAGTCATATGATAAATCCCGAATTGATGGTTTTTAAATATGTTTAAAGGTAAAAGCTCGATATGAGCTTCTAGTTCATTTCATTTAAAATCTATCCCCTCATGACAAATTTTAGACTAACTTTTTACTACTTTCGTTTCATTTTCGTTACTCTCGTTCAACAAAAATCTCCTCTTTTCTATTTTTCATATCAGCAAATCTGGTTTAGCTTTTTTAAAATCCTTTCTTAATCTAAATTTGCATTTGTTGGCAAGGCTATGAACGTGCTATTTGTAGGTCTTGTACATGCGCTTGTTTTTTTTCCCCTTTGTATCGCCTGACGCCGGGTGGACTGTTCCAATTTCCAAACAAAAGCCCACAGGTCAATACGTCCTATGTTAGATTCAGGCCCAAAAAGGCCTATATTCGAATGCAATGTGTACCACACATCTTGGATCGAACGTCTCACAGAGTACATCCTGGAACGGGATTGCCGAGTAAATCCAGAATTCCAAGGAAGGTGAGGGCCCTTTCGTGAAAACTGCCTGCCTGACATGCGGGTCCGGCTCGAAGGTGGGCCCAACATTCAACGAGGAAGAGAAGGCATCTCCATTTCCCTCCACGGCGTCGCCGCCGGCAGCCGGACGCCGCAGACCGTCGGTTCTCACCTCTCGTCATTCTCGCAGACCTATAATCGCCAGTATAATAATATATTATTAAATTTTATATCGACCTAAAACATGACAAAATATTAGCATTTCCATTACGTGTTTATACGTTGTTAATGGATTCAAGATAATCACTAGTGGCTACTGATTACTATTTGATGAAAACAAAAAAAAGATTCAAGATAATTACCGCAAAATCCACACTAATGGCTTCTGAATACTATTTGATGATAACATGAAACGCATTCGACATAATCATCTCAATAAAAACTTGCAACCATGCGTGAGAATTTATTACAAAGCTGGCAAACCATCTAATTAACTTTAGGCTTCTAAAGAAGCAGCGCGACAGCCGTCACGGCGAGGACACCGGCTCCACCGGCGAAGGCAACGGCGGCGGACGAACTCTCCTGCGCCGGAGCCGGCGCAGGCGAAGGGTAGTGCCCGTAGTAGCTAGGTGCTTGAGCGCCTTCGTCAGCGCTAGGCGGGGACGGCGGCGGCGGCGGCGACTGATGGCGGCCGTCACCGGGAGTAGGAGCAGGGGAATACTGAACATGCGACGACGGCGCCGGCGCCGGCGCCAGGTGGCTGTTCGTCCCGTGGATCACCGCTGGCGCTGGCGCCGGCGCGTGGGCCGGCCACGGCCAGCTGGAGTGCACCGGCGCCGGAGCATGGCGATCATGATGCGAACTCGGGGCGTGCGCCGGGGCAGTAGCAGTAGCATGACGGTGGTGATGATGGCCATGGTGATGATGATGATGCGAGGGGCTTGGCTTGTCGTCACGGACCGGAGCCGGGGCTGGAGCGTGGTGATGCCACTCTGGGGCTTGCGCTGGCTGGTCCGCGTGGACTGGCGCCGGCGCTGGTGCGTGGTGGCCGTGAGCGCCGTGGTCGGGAGCGCTCGGCGACTGAGCCCGCGCCGGCCACGGGGCGTGGTGGTGAGGGTAAGGCGCGTAGGCCGGCGAGTGGTGGTCGGCGCGCGCGGCCGACGCCGCAGCCAGGAGCGAGGAGGCCAGCAGCATTGACATCACCAAGGCCATTGGCGAGATGGAGGTGGCCATGGAGAGAAGCTGTGAGGTTCAGAGAATGCGAGCTACCTCGTGTTGCCGTCGAAGGCGAGCGCGCATATATATAGTCACAATTCAAAGATTTGTTTCCAAAGATTAAAACTTGGAAACGTTGCTGATTATTTGTCGGGTATACTTGGCAAGGAGGGAAACCTCAATCATGGCAAGACTTTCATTTTCATGCTCGTATGTTAGGATGTAAATATGATGGGAATCGTTTGCTCAAATACTGGAAACAAATCAGTGATATTCCTCTCTCGATCAGAAGAAACATTGCAGATAATTGATTTCCTTTCGAAGCAGGAGCGAATAAATTCGGGGAAGTATTGGCAATTAGAATGCCGTAATTCCAGCATGACGGGTAATAAAGCTTCCGTTATCTTTTTTTTTTAAAAAAAAAATCATAGTTCACAGGTAGAAGGAAATTTGCCGGCCTCTGTATCTCAAGTAAACAATTGCAGAACATCTTCTTTCAAAGCAAATCATACTTCAGAGAATTGTGCACCCCCCCCCCCCCCCCCACAGAAACCGATCTTATTGATTATCTTAATATTGGCATAACTTACGACATTCCCCCAATTCAAAAGTTTCTTTGCATTCTGGAACAGGATGAATAAATTTCCTTGAGAATTGGCCAATTCATTATTACAAGGTTACAACATCATTACAACAACTCAGTTCATTGGTGGCGCACATCTGCTAGTACGCGCTACTTCCATAGAACAACACAAGAGTTACAGATATCGATATAGAGTTATATACAGGATGAACTAGATGATGATGAGCGAGGCTTCAAGGATACCGTCAGTTGATTAAAAAAATTGGGAATGACCTGAGGTTTTTTAGCCATAGCACATGATGAGTTGAGAAAATCTAATTTGCATAGGCAACAGTTCTCTGCTAATACCTCCTCACGCCAGCTCCACTGTTCATTGAAAACTTCAACTTTGCATATGTTCTTTACCACCAGGTTTGAACCAGAGGTTTCTCAACCAATGGAGTCGAGATCTAAAACCATAGCTATGTAATGCTATCGATGCTGGTTGTTACAAGCCTGGCAGTTTCTGGCAGATCTGGGGTTAGCATATGTGCACTGGTCACACGTCCAAATGTTGCTTTCATCGACACCACGGCTCGAGCCACCTGTTTTGGAGCTGGTACTGGATGCTCTGCTCTTGCTACTCTTACTTTTACTGCCAAGACTCTTCGAAGTTGCGCTCTTGCTGCATGTACCATGGCTAGTGGAAGGACCTACATCATTTAATCCAGTCTCCAAAGCCCGGACAAGGTTCTCGAAATAATTGCGAGTCACACTGTCAAATAAAGAGAGAACTTCAGATGAAGATATAGTACAAACAAACGAAATTTAAATGATCATCTTTTTACAATTAGGAGTGATCATGTCGTCAAAACAATCAAAGAAAACCTTCCAAAGGACACAAGCATCCGAGTAATAAGGATAGGAAACATGAAAAACAGAATGATCTGTAGTACCTAGTTAATCCAGCCAACTTTGTACGGAAGTCATTGAAATCTTTTGAGGGAGATTCTGCTTCAAGGTATACTTGAAGTTCTTTCTCTGCACATTGATGCAGCCGCTCCAAACCTGATTCCGCCTCACCTAGATAAATAAGCAACAAGAATAAACCAGATAAGTAACTGATACTTGCGTATGCTATTTAGTATTACAGCAAAACTACGAACCTTGCAGATATTCAAAGAACTGTCTTTTGGCATGTTCATGCTCTGGGAGGTAAAAACCATAAGCATAAGTCCACTTCAATACCCTCCTACATTCGACAATCTGCGTATTGAAATTATTAAACTCGCCCATGAGAGATCTAGGAGGCTTATGAGAGAACTAAACTTGGCAATGAAAACTAACCTGTAACCAAGCCTCTATGATGAACTTGAGCTGTGACTCTGGTTGGCTTTGTATATCACTTAACTTTTCAAGCTGAAAAATGATTTGTGAATGTCGCTGTTAGCATATGTTCTGGACAGGCTGGAGTAGCTGTATTATAAATGATTAATACATGAACCTAACATGGCTTCAGTACTTTTGGGTGAAATTGGATATAAAGAGGATAAAGGAGAGATAAATATAAAGTATCATATTTATATACCTTGTCGTTTTGCAAACTCAGCAGATCTCCTAATGCCTTTTGCCTCGACTGCATAACGAGAAGATATTAAGAAACCAGAAAAGTTCTTCTTGAGTATTGATTGGAAATCTTTTTTACTACTTATGTAAAACACAATGCTTTGTTCAGGTAACTTTTCTTGTACCCAATAACTTACCGACTGATTGGCTGCCCACCGTTCATAATAGTGTGTATATCTCTCAAGCGAGTTCTTTGCCATTTCTCTTCTCCTTTCAGATTCATCATACTGTAACCAGTGCGAAGCAGCACAAATTAACCACAATATTAAATAAAAATAATAAAGTATTAAGAAAATATCTCAGATTAGAACTGTACCGCTCCTTCCTGCCTTGCTGCCTCATAACGGTTACAGGCATAAAATCCACCAGTCCGTTCTCCATGCTCCGACCATGGACCAAGACACAGCCTGCGTTATATAGAACAAGTACATACAAGCCATATGAGACTGCAAGTGCTATGAAGAGCATAAACAGAGAGATTATGATTACATACCAGCAAAACTCAAATTTGCATGGAGGTGTGCATGTAATGTGCATGCATCCCTGGTTTTTTTCAATGGGCCGCTTGCACTTAGGACAAGGCTTTGAATTAGCTAGAATCCTGAAACCATAACCAACAGAAAGTTCAACATAGTTGACACAAGAAATAACTTGCAGTAAAAACATAAGAACTACTACTAATATGACAAAAAAATAAAGTCAAAATATTGGTGTTTCAGAAAATCACCAAACAATAAAATAGCAAAAGTTTTCAGAACCAAAAGGAGGAATGAGATTAGGACAAAGTTTTCAGAAGAAAGATCAAATGCAATTAAAGGAACAAAACTTACAATAAGAAAAATGTCAGTAGTAATGAAAAAGAAAGCTGTGTTATTCTGACAATACCAGTTCATATTTTCAGACTCCGCACTGTTCTTGAGGATCCACTTTGAAACAGTGGCACAGTCTACCGGACGATGAGCTTCCTCAGTGCACTGCAAATTTTATTTCAAATGGTTTATGCCCTGCTGATCACAATGAAATGAAATGGCAGGTCCAGTACTCACGTTCCAACAAAAGCCGTATGAACAGTTGCAGTTCACATCATAGCTACCACTGCCCATGACAAATTCTACAGCATATTCACATCCAGGAGCAGGACACCATTTTGTCTGTTCCAAATAGGAATGAACTTAATGAACATATGCTTAAAAAAATAGATACATAAATACCAAAACTTGAGAATTGGCCAAATATAGCACTTGATCATTTCCTATGAAGGCATTCACACTAATTACAAACTGTCAGCACCATTTCAAAAATATATTATGATTGCCACATTAACTGTAAGAACATCAAGGTTTATTCAAAATACAGAGAGTTCACTCCATTTTTAGGAAAAACAAGATGCAAAGGCAGGAGAATGGCTGGTTTACATAAAACATATAATAATTCACAGTAGCAGCCATACAGATTTTCATTTATTCATTTGTATTATGATCAACCTACCTTCCTATTATCTTCAATGTAAGATCTGCGAAGATATCGCCCATACTTTTCCCTATCCTCGTCATCAGCCAGTGAATTGATCATATCTTGACCAACAGCAGCTGTGCAGGACGGATCAGGACATCTTAACATCAAGCATCCTGGACCATCATTTATAGAAGTGCTAATATAACCTGTCAATGTGCACTATGTAAGTGGTGATCCCACACAAAACAGAATCCGGGGTTGATAAAGAGAAATATCTCAAGGTTAGATTGTCAAACCTCTCCAACATGCACTACAGAACGGATGGCCACATGCAGCAGCACTCATTGACGTACGAGGACAATTTTCGAAACAAATTCCACATGTCAACTGTCAAGTGAACAAAATGTATTAGTATTGAACAGCTGATGATATTCATGTGTTCTAAGTAATGACAGGTAAAAACCATCACAAACAGGCAAGAGAAAAAATGAGATATGAAATGTTTGATGCACATTCTTCCCACAACTCACAAGTCACAATGTATAGCACTATAGTACAGGCAAAACTGAGTGCCAATACATGTGTACTGCATGACACAAGCATACTATCCATTTTTTTCTCAAAAAATCCTGGCTCGCAGGCATACAACTGCTAGAACTTCAAATTGTTTGTACATCCCCCAAAGTTTTTAATTGTTTAACTAGTAAGGCAAAGGCATACTTCTCTGTCATTTGGCATTTCGATGAGCTTTTCCGGAAAACCAACAACCTTACGAACATGTTCTTCATCAGCAAACCATTCATCATGCACCTTACTGACACTCCTGCAGGGGGGCAAAACCAAATAATAGATGCATCATTCCTTGTGCTCTGCTTCCATATGGCAATAACAGATGAAGTACTTCCTTCGTCCACAAATCTAAGGGATTCTAGGTTGTTTCGCAGAGTTCAAGGTTGAGGTGAAATTACTTTGATGCAGGGAAGTTTATTTGATTGGGAAAGATCACGCCTAGCAATGCAACTACCAAAAGCAAAAAATGCAGTAGTTGGATAGATTAGGAAAGTAGTACTCCAAAATCCCTTATGTTTGTGGACGGAGGGAATAGCACATTTGGGCTAGATTACATGGTGTACTGCATTAATGAGCCAATGCAGCATGAAATAATATCCCACGACCACGATTAAGCCCTCAATACAATAAATTTTGATAATTCACAACCATGTAAGTTTAAATCAGTTTGTTTATTAATAGCATGTCCACGAGTAAACAAATATGACATGGACATGGATGAATTATCAGGTATGAGAATCAAAGACATAACAAACTTGATACAGATAGAGCACCAAAAAAGACA